AAAACAATTTTTTAAACAAATATTTGATAACGTTTTTATAGAACCCCCTGCTAATGAGGTGCAAGAGCTCCTAATCTTTATGTCGGAATATAATAAGGAGGTCAACGAAAATGTAATATTGAATAACACTTAAATTTGTATACAGTTTAACTAAATTTTTTATAATTAGTTCCGATCAGTAATAAGGTATAATGATGATTTTTCAGTCGCAGCGTTTCACTACTCTCGATGTTAGATATACGATTGAGGAGTTCTCTTTGTATGATATAAACAGTGACGGTGTGCTCAGCTTTAATGAATTTAAACCACTAGCTAGAGATTACTTACTAACAGAAGATATTTTAAGTAATTATTATAAATATGATAAAAGCATTATATTTTATTTAATCGTTTTGAATAAATATTTTGATATTTTTACAGTAATACATAGATATAATATAATATATACAATACAATAACTAAAACTAAGTACAGCTTTTCTTCATGTTTCGTATTACTTCTGAATTACAGTTTTTATGTTATATCATATTTTTGACTTATTCCGTTTTCTAAATAAAAATATTTAAATAATTTTTTTTTGATTTTAACTACTTTTAAGGAACATTTTTTATTTTAGATAACTCTAGCATTATGGAACTTGAATCGGTCGCTAAACTCTACCACCTCGCGCAAACAGAACCAATCGATCATGAGGCGTTAGTTGATCACGATGGTACGAATCATTTATTTTACATATTTTATTTTATAAATGTTATACAATAAAGAAATGTACCTAATTGATGTCATGTCTAATTTGATATACTTTAAAAAAAACTATTTCTAGTTAAATGTTCACTGAACACTGCTACGTTCTTGCACTTGAAATACTATTTACGCTTCAAAAACGCGACAACGAATAAATCAAAAAGATGGGCCATGGATTGGTCGTGGATGAAAGAAACTATGGAATTTATTATTGAGCTCACCAAAGAAAGTTTATGGATACAATAGTGGAAAAGAAAAAATGTATTATTTTTTTATTATTTGAAATTTTGTATTCTTATTGCACTGTTTCAATTATTTAAAAAAACTTGTGGATTATCTCGTATTTTAAATAAAGAAAGCAAAAACAAAAACAAAAATGTATTCAATTGATTTAAACATAATTTTAGCAGTATCCTATGAAATTAAATTATAATATGTTTTTTTGTTAACATAACAAAAATATTACATTACGAATTTTACAATACCAAAAATACTATGATATCAACATGTTCGCATTATTTAATTATTTATATTTTAACGGGTATAACCCTTTTACAATGTAGTTACAACACTTAAATTAAAAAAGAAAAGTTATAACATTTACATATACAGCATTTACAATAAAATTAAAACATAATAACAAGTAAAAATAATTTAGGGTTGTATAAAAAGTGGGTTGGCATTGGCATTTGACATAATACGTCTCATTGGTTCATTGGAAATATAGTTGGTGCTGCAAGTGGGAATTGAAAAAGGAGTATAAGATCTAGTACGCCTAGGAGGAACTTTAAAGTTCAATAAAGATAAAAGGTAAGAAGAAGAAATATGACGGTTTAATAAACCATACAAAAATTTGAGTTCGCTCGTTTTTCGACGATCAGCTAGCGAGTTTAGGTTAAGGAGATCTGCAATTAGTGCATAGTCATGAGATGCATGTGGAACATTTAATAAAAAACCTGCGTGTCGCAAAAATCTACGTTGAACTCTTTCTATTAAGTAAGAGTCGTAAATAGTATGTGGATTCCAAACAATAGAGCCAAACTCAATAACCGGACGAACTGGGCACCTTCTAAGCTATCTATTGAAGCTTACACGTCTTTACACTTCATAATTTCTATCATAGTTCCATCTTTATTTTTTTTTTTTTTAAGACAGTTAAATTTATGTTTAACGTGGCATTGTAATTGCTATTGTAAACTTTACAGCCTATAAGGTAATGTTACTTTCCGCTATCTTCATACTGTGTAATAAGGCTAACTATAGACACATTGATAGTACGTTATTGCAGTTGCACTGGACTACTCAAACTTCATGTTGAAGTTATTTTTTCAATGAAATATTAAATATAAATTCTATTGTTTCATAATAAAATATAATAAGGATTTTTAGGTATAAGTTGAATAACCTTGTCCGTCATAATGTATATAACATTTGATAGCAAGTACAAATCCAATTTTAAACCAATTGTTCTGCTAAAATTTAGGTAATTTCATTTTTACTTTACCTATCATTAAATATTGTTGTATATTGTTATATTGTTATATTTATAATATGGTTATTTAGATAACACTAATTAATGTGTACGCAGTGGGGACTGTTCACGGCGTACGCTAATATTGAAAATAATTACTTGTCATTGCTGTTATAGCGTTTCATAATAAACGTCTTTTATTAATCCTAAAGTTGAGTTGTATTCTTTAACAATTAAGTATACAACAAATATAATAAAAATGTTATCGGGAATATTTTAGCTTCTGGCTTCAAACAATTTATCAAAATATGACCTCTTCAATTATTGAATTTATTTTAGTTCAGTTCATATTGCACCTTGTGAATACAACATATATCAAATGGGCTCTATTTTCTGGTCGTTCAAATTGATTCTACTTGACAAAAATAACAAATTATTGATTTAAATTTGTTTTTATTACATCAAAATATTTAAATAGGTTAGGTTGAATTTCCATGTAATGTAAGAGATAGTTTTCCTTATTTCTTGGCTGAACGTGTAATAACTTTTTCTACAATGTGATTTGGAATACAATATGTCATTGTTCCTTATGTCGATTTATCAAGTCGTCTTTAGGATCTTATGTTTGCAAAATAATATCTAACAGCCATGTAGGTTCATCTTACTCTTTTATTATTGGCTAGTCACCCATCCATAACTGTACGTACATAGTTAAACGTAACAGGTATTTGAAAAAATAAATAAAACCTTAAAAATATTATATTTTTATTATTATTTATTCGAAATACGAGACAAGACAAATGTACAAAATATAATAATTCAAATTTAGAAGAAATAATAAAATAACATATTATAGTAAAATAGTAAATTATTAATAACGTTGTTATAAAGTTGTAGTCTTGAAAAAGAACTCTGCAAGATTGCTATTCTATATATTCCCCTTAACATTTGTTTCTTCCAATATCGAAGTTGGGAAACTTTTACCAGTTGTTCTATATGTTACAAGCCTACACATATATATGTATTAATATTATATAATACTCAATGTAATATAAAGCCTAGCACTTTATTTACATATTATACATATTAATTAACATATTTTAATTTTCACCTTGACAGCATAAAAATTTAATAAAATATATAACATTTAGAATTTGTTTTTAAATTTTAACTACTTAAAAATTTGAAACAAAAATGTTTAAAGTTATTATAAAAAATAACACTTAAATTATAATTGTTTAGTTAAAAATGCGTTTCAATGTCATAATTATTCATTAAGTAACGTGGTCGTCAACTTAAGGTGTTTTTAAAATAAATGTACAGAATATAGCATTGCCCAAAACCAAAAATTATCTTAAATTTTTTTTCTTCATTTTTACGTTTTATAGAACTATTTGAATAGGATATATAAGTTAGAAGCATTTAGAAATTCCACTCACACGCACATCAGGTGATTTGGAATGAAATGATCTTTTCATAAATGACGGGCTTTGTTTCTTCCATTGCCTTCCAAGTCTTTTTCAGGACCTAATGTTTGCAAAAAAATGTCTTATAGCTATACAGGTTCTACTAGCTCTTTCGTGATTAGCTAATTGTAGGGCTCACCCGTGTTAAAATATACATAGTTCAATTTAATTACATTTTATTTTTTGCTTTCTTTATTTGAAATACGAAACAATTCACAAGTTTTCAAAATAACTAAAATTTTGCAGTAATAAAACGATAAACAAAATTTCAAAATAATAATAATTTCCCGTCTCCACTATTTCAGCGTCTTTCTTTGCTCAATACTATTTTAAAACTCCGATGAACCCTTTCATAAATGCCGGGGTTAATTTCTTCAGCAGCCCTTGCATTTTCAATGGCTTGTTTTTTTTCCATTGCGATAATTTCTTTTCTTTTTTCATTTAATTTTTTCTTTTCCTCTTCTTCTTTTCGTATTTCAATTAATATTTTCTGTTTTTCTTCTTCCTTTAATTGTCGAATACGTAAATAGAATTTCAAGTAAAAGAACGTAGTAGTGGTCATTGAACCGTTTGCTAGAAACAGATTTTCTAGGTGTATATCAAATTAGGTATGAATGGTATCTATTTTTATATAAAAAATTTATATACTAAATAATTCTTACCATCATGATTATCATTCACCTCATATTTGATTTTTTCTGATTGCGAGAGGCGGTATAGCTTAACGAGTAGTTTAAGTTCCGATATTGGGGATGTAACTAATACAAAAAAAATATCTCGAAAGTAATAAAGTCATAAAATATGTTTTAATATTTGTATTTAGAACGCTGGACAAGTGTAATTTATTTTATAATATACATTTCTACAATTGAGAAGAAATAACAAAACGTGGAGAAAATAATGTATATTAATATTAGTATTGTATTAGTAATTTACAAAATTACATCACAGTATATATATATAATTATTACTGTTGAAATCAAAATGTTTGTTCTAAATTATTAAACCAAATATAATACTTGTATCATATTTATAATTATTACTCAAAAGATCTTCTGTTATTTTGTAATTTATAGCAAGCGGGAAAAATTCGTTATAGCTGAGCACACCGTTACTGTCGAAGTCGTACAAAGAGAACTCCTCAATCATATATCTAACATCAAGAGAAGTGAAACGCTGCAACTGCAAAATCATAATTATACTTAATAATTGATCGGTTAAATTATATAAATATTATCAACACTGTATAAAAATATAATCGTAATTCAATATTACATTTTCATTTTCATCGACTTCCTTATTATATTCCGACACAAAGACTAGTAGCTCTTGCAACTCATTAGCGGGGGTTCTGTAAACAGTTTATTAAAAATTTTGTTTTTTTAACATGTATATGTTTTATCGCTAAGGGTTAGGACTTTAAAATTTGTCAGACCCGTAACGCTGGATGTCACACTCTGATGTCACACTTGGTGGCGGCGGCGGAGGAAGGAGGGGAGGATTAGAGATAAGAGATAATATATTAGGGATTAAAATAGAGAGAATGTATTAGAGATACTAGATTGGACATAAAAATAAAAATAACGGATTAGAGATAAAAATAGAGATAATAGATTAGATATAATAAAAAAAATAGAGATAATGGATTAAAGATATGATATGAGAGATACTAGATTAGAGATAAAAATCGAGATAATGGGCTAGAGAAAAGGAATTAAAGATAAGAGATGAGAGATCAAAATAGAGATTTTAGGTGAGAAATTAGAGATAAGAAAAGTACCAGTGTCTTATACTTGAACACAAAGACATATACATGCGCCTATGTATCTGGTTGTGCTGTGGGTAATCGTTAGTTTAAATTTTTTTTAAATTAATTATGATAAATTAATTTTAAAGTAATATAAATGTACACTTACGAACGTGTTCGATTTCGTATAGCAACCCAACATAGTCATTGGAAACGATTTGTAAGGACAGAAATAAGTCTACTACGCTATCAGTAGGAAGATTAACGTAAAACGATGTATACAAATCGGAACATTTTCTTAGCTGTACCATGTCAAGACCTTTACCCTAAATATAAATTAAATACGGTTTATTCTTATAACACTGAAATGTTAGCACACATAAGACATCGAGTAAGATATGGTTATACAGCAAACCGTTTTCATACATTCGGTTTATGTTTTAATATGGTCGCCAAGAACATCAGTGCATTAATCGAATCTCCATCTAAAAATAAATTACAGTTTTTAACATTAACTAACTTGAAATATGTTTTAAATACATTTTTACCATTAAATTCTTTTTTTATGTTGTCCTCAAATTCAGGGTCTAGGTTTAAATATTCGTCTATTAGGCTCACTAATTCAGCATGGGTAAGAAGGCCGTTTGGCTCGCCTTTGTCTACGCCTTTATCTTGTACTTTGCCTTGGCTTTCTGCTTGGCCTTCGCCTTGGCCATTGCCTTCGCCTTCACCTTCGCCTTCACCTTCGCCTTTGCCTCGACCTTCACTTTCCGCTTTGCCTTCACGTTTACCTTCATCCAAGAAGAATAGTGCGTTAATTGAGTCTCCATCTAAAAATAAATGACAATTTTTAATGTTACCAAACTTTAAGCATATTTTTAAAACATTTTTACCATTAAATTCATTCTTTGTTTCCTCTTCATGTTTCGGTTCTAGGAATGAATCGTCGTCTATTAGGCTAACTAATTCAGCATGGGTAAGAAGGCCGTCTGGCTCGCCATAGTCTACGCCTTTGTCTTGGCCTTCGCCTCCTCCTTCACTTTTGCCTTTGCCTTCAACTTCGCCTTTACCTTCAACACCTTCAACACCTTTTTCGTCTTTTTTTTTGAAAATGTTTATGAAAAGATTTACTTCGAAAGTAGTGAAAGTTTTTCCCTAATATTAATTACATAAAAAATAATATTATTTAACTTTCTTAAGTATTTTGTTATGGAGAACAATATTTTTAGTATGTACTATTTCAGTATTACCTTCCATTGGTAAATTATCTTTTCCAGAGTGCTCAAATAAATTAATAGATCCGGTAAACTTTTGTCATCAATCATAGCTACACCTTCCAATTTGTAGTTGTACTCATTACCATTACTATGAAACTTTTTATCTATAAAATTCTATGTTTATTTAAATTGGTCATAATGAATACATGTAGTTATAAATTGGTTTATTTGTGTAAAATTTGTTATAAACACTTAAGAAATTCATTATAAAACTATTGCTTGCGACTATTAACTTTCAGTTTTTTAGCAAACACTAGTCCAAAGATATGTGCTTTTTTGGATAATATTATGTATTGTAAAAAAATATTCATATCATGTTAATAATTTAAAAAAACAGAACAGTGGTGTCACAAAGAAGTCACAGAATCAAACAATTATCACGACTGAATGCTCACTAAACACTGCGATCACAATATGTATGTATAGTTGTACTGGGTTATATAACTTTAATTTTTTCAATGAAATAATCATATTAGCTTAAAAATGTTGTCACAAAATCCTTGACACATAGGTAGTCATTTGACTTTTTAAAGTAACCCCTTAGTAATACCTTTCAAAATCATTTTATTAACATAAATAGAAATTTGTTATTATAAAATACGAAACCTTTAAAATTATACAATTATCTTATAATAAAATTCTATAAGACAAAAATTCAATAACTCTGACTATCGTAATATATTATGAAAAATATCCATTTACTCAAGTCCTTATCCTTCCACTTATACTCAACCATTGTGATTCTGTCCACGTCACCATTTTCTTTTCGGTGCTTATTAACTAACTTAACCATTTCGTCGATTGTGTTTTGACTTAGTCCCAAGCTCTGCAAAACATTATATTATTCCCTAATATAATAATATAGGTGACCTAACTAATATTATTTCTGTATTAGGCATGCCTTTTTTTTCTAATTCTCAATTGTTTGATCTATGTTTTACTTACCCACGCTGCCGTAAAAAAGTATATTGATACGATGAGTAAAGAACTTTTGAGATACATTTTTTATTATATTATAGTTCTTAAACGAAAATTCGCTTACGTGTAAAATAAAATAACCATAGAACAGAATCCAACAAATGCGATTAAATAAATAAGCTATAAATGTTTATATAGATGCTTAAGTTTGCGGTAAAAATATCTGCCACTATGTACTTGGTAATACAAACAATTCTGATAAAAAACAAAATTTGTCAAGTCTGGTTTTATAGCCCGTATGTAGCAAAAACATACAATTAGGGTTTAATTTACAATTTTGGTGCACCATGATTCACATGTGGCCTGGTAAATACAACTGTACGATGGTGGTTTGGCAAAACATCTAAAGTTTATAAAAACATGTTTTATAAACTGAAAAATTATAGCTTAGTCCAGTGGCGTTTCCACGAGGGGGGGGGGGGTCAAGCTTAATTTATTGTTTCCGATGAAAGATATTTCGGATACATTTGAAAATGACATAACTTATTTAATTCAAAAATATTCTCAATTATTACCATATTTTTCTTCATTGGTAGTAATCGCAGAACTTAAACTATGGTGGACTACTCTAAAAAGTATGTCTAAAATTATAATATATTAGAATTACTAAATAATTGTATTGAAAATGACTTGACATACAAATGTCTATAAACTTTTAAAAATCGTGACAACTTTACCTATTACAACAGCTGCTGCAGAAAAGTCATTTTCAACATTGCGACGTTTAAAAAGCTATCTGAGAAATACCATGTCAGAAAACCGTTTAAATGGATTAGCTCAGATGAATATTCATAAGAAAATTGAAATTAACCCTGAAGATGTGTTGGATCAACTGGCTAAGAAAAAAATTTAAATGTATTTAGTCTTGTAAAATTATTTTACAATACAAATACATATGTAATACATTTTATTAAAATGTAATAACCATTTTAACTCAGACTGTCTTGTATTTTCATAATGTCTAAATTTTGAATTAATAATATTTTAAGTTTATTTGTTTTTAATTTTATGATATAAAAAAACAATAAAGTGTACTTTAATAATATTTATGTTATCACTTATCAATCGTTACAATATTATGATATCCTCTTTCTTTTTTTGCTTATTACACAGTTTAGAACTCAGGTCGTTTAAATTTGTTGAACCCCACTCCCAAAAAAAGGTCCTAAATACGCGCATGTAGCTGACTATGCATTGACTAATACTAACAAATAATATAAATAAAAAGAACTTCTAACACAACCCAATAAAGTAAAAAAAACACATGTAACACAAAACAGAATACTACATAAAAGATACAAGAAACTAGATTATAAAAATAATAACATTATAAAATCCAACAGATGCAAGAACAACAAAAAACTTGTTTTTGATGACCTAGTTTGCGGTAAGACTATAGGTGACTATGTACTTAATAATAGAAATAAATATATTAAAAAACACATGTAACACAAAATAATATATGTACTAAATGATGATAACAAACCGTTTCAATAGTTTTATCCAATAATGTTGTGGTTATAAAGTAACTAAAAAACTAATTTAACCAATATTTTGACACAAACTAAGGATATCTAATATCAAACAATTCTTTTTTGGATAACGACTAACGGTACCCTCATGTTGTGCTTAATCCAATATTTTATGACAATAACGTTTAAAATATTTAGTTTATACCCGACTATTCATAAATTAAAACAATTTTAAAGTTTAATTTAGTACCATGTTAAAAATATTTGATATTATTAATCTCGTTTTACGAAATGTTTAAATGCTTGGTTATTTGATGGGTTATAATGGGATTGAGACCGCAAGTAAAAATATAAATCGTATTGTTAAAATTAAAAAAAAAAATGTAATAAATACATTTTAAATTGTTATTAAAAAGGCTATATTATAAATATTATTACATTTCCCAACCGCACTTCCCCCCCCATCCTAACTTTTAACCCCTATAACTTCAAAAACAGTTATCCGAAACTGGTTATCGACCTGTCAAAATTTGTAATACATTAAGATTCGTTAACACGACGACAGTAAATTTCATGACATTAACTATTATCAGTTACTGTCGTCGTGTAAACGCGCCTTTATTTAGAAAGATAATAAAATAAATTATACGTTACCATGTAAGATTTAAAAGTTGCTATCGAAAAATTCAAGTTGAGTGGGGGGTAAAAACAAACAAAATATTATGAAAAACTGCGATCACATTGTATAAAAACAATATGAAAAAAAAAAATTAATTTCTTATTAAACCCAGTGATATATTGTCTGGTTCGTGATAAAATAATCACCCTGTATAGAAGACGTGGTAAAAGTTTTGGGTAACGGAGATTTATGTTTACTAGAATCTGACTTCTGATCACCGACTCACCTAAACACAAGCGGCGCACCAAGACTTTAAGGTTGAGCATTTGCGAACGCGTGTGCTTATTGGCTTACACGTGCGCGTTATGTAAAGACGTGGTCAATATTGGCCATTCGTAGGCAGCCACTACTGGACCTCTACCCTTTCCGCACTGTCAAAACCAGGATGTCCAGTCACCTGAGCTTACACGCGAAAGCCCATTACGTTACCAAAGATTTCACTACCTTCGACAGTCCACGCCTCTGCTGGTCACCAGCAATGGAGATGTACTCGGGCTGCAACATGCTACACAAGATTTCACTTACCTGTCATCTCATTTTTAAGTCATAAACGCGTTAAGAGTGTCCCTGATACTTTCACTAAAAGTTTTACGTGCTTATAACTAAAAACTATATCTTTATATAATTATTATGACTTGTCTTTATTCAACTGTTTTCTAACCATCTTGAGCTTAATTTAAAAAAAACACTATTCAAACATCAACCGTTATACCACGATTGTGTACGAGACCTCTCATCCAGGTTATCCACATTAAAGTTTAGAAAAACAGTGTCTTAACATATATACATATGTAAGTGTTGTACAAATTTCAGAATTTTTAGTTCAAGCCCTAAGAAGTTATAGGCTCTTAAATGTTGCATACATCATAGGAAATTTACCAAAATATGGTCCAACAAAAAATTATAAATCAAAAGAGTGTAGTCAGAATAAAATATGTTTTTTTTTTAATTAAGACCTTGACAACTTAAAAATGTAATCAAATATATAACATTTTATAAATCTTGTTTTTCAATTTTTAGGTAAAAAAATGGTTTAGTGTTGTTATGAAAAAGAACACTAAAATTACAATTATGAACATTGCATTTCTATATCATAATTATTTATTAAGTAACGTGGTCGTGAACTGAAGGATTTTTTTAATTTAATGTACAGAATATAACATCGCCCCAAATCAAAAAGTTGTTTAAACATTTTTCCGATTTCATAGAACTATTTGAAGAGGATATAAAATTTAGAGGCATTTGGATAACCCACTCGCACACACATCAGGTGATTTAGCATGACCCTTTCATAAATGACGGGATTTGTTATATTATATGTATATACATATATTTTTTTTAAATGGTATTTATTTATACGGAACAAGACAAAATACTCAAAATATAATTATTCATAAATAGGAGTAATATATACTTTAATAAAACATTTTTTTTTTTTGCTTTCTTATTTTAAGATACAAGACAAGCCGCACGTTTTCAAAAAAATAAAAATGGTGCAGTAATAAAACGTCAAACAAAAATTTAAAATCATAATCAATTTTCTGTCTCCACATTTTTTAAGCGACTTCCACTTCCCCGTAACACTCTAAAAGTCCGATGAGCCCTTTCATAAATGCCGGGATTCACTTCTTCAGGTGCCCTTATATTGTCACGGAGGTACTTTTCTTCTTGTTCTTTTAATCTTTTCTGTTCCTCTTCTTCTTTTCGCTTTATAATTATTCTTTCCTGCTCATCTTTTTGTAATCTACTTATTCTTTCCTCTTCTCTTATCTGTTCTTCTTCTCGAATTACTTTTAATCTTTTCTGTTCTTCTTCTTCAGTTAATCGTAGAAAACGTAAATAGAATTTCAAGTAAAAGAACGTAGAAATGGTCATTGAACCGTTTACTAGAAACAGTATTTTGAGGTGATATCAAATTAGGCATGAATGGTAAATTATAAAATGTGTAAATTAATTCTTACCATCAGGATTTTCATCCACATGTCTAAGGATAAGATTTTCTACTTTTTGCGAGAGGCGGTATACTTTAATGAGCGATTTAAGTTCCGGTATTTCGGAAACCACTAACACAAAATTAATAACTCAAAAGTAATAAAAATCAAATAACATGTTTTAATATTTGTGTTTAGAACATGAGACAAGTCTAATTTATTCTATAATATACATTTCTACAATTGAGAAATAATAACAAAACGTGGAGACTAAAATGTACATTAATAAAAGTATTGTATTAGTGATGCACTATACTAAATCACAATATGGTGTAAGATAAATATATACACTGGATGGCCCACAATGATTTGACAATTCAAATAACTTTTGTTCTACTGAATATTTTTGAGATTTTTTTTTTAAATTTATACTCATTTTTCGCTTATCTTCAAAAAAAATTCATTTTATAAATTTTTTTTAAAAAAATCTTACAAATATTCACTAGAACAAAAGTTAATTAATTTGTCAAATCATTGTGGGCCATCGTGTATATGATAAATTGTTGATATCAATTATTGTTTATTCAAAATAATTCAAAATAATTACTTAAAAGATCTTCTGTTATTTTGTAATTTCTAGCAAGCGCGAAAAATTCATTATAGCTGATCACACCGTTACTGTCGAAGTCGTACAAAGAGAACTCCTCAATCATATCTCTAACATCAATATAAG